AGATAAGAATTTTCTGAAGCCCGTCTTGTTAAATATAGAGTTCCAATTTCTACATTACAAATAAATAATGCAGTTTGAGGATACATAAAAATTAATGGTTTTACATTTCCTATTTTTTCTCGACTTTTTATATAGAGTTTAAGATGATCACGATTAAATTCTACGTCAGTCAACGAGATCTTTATTTTAACTTTTATAATATAAAGTTCTCGTTTAGTAAGAACTTATATTTAGATTTTAATTTATGTCAAAGTCAATAATTATTTTTAACAATAATTTTTAGCCACACATTTCATTAATTTTTATTAAAATCTAATAAAAAATTCGAGGTATTTAATATATACCAACTCCACTTTTCATTTTTTTTTTGACATTTTCACCCTTATTTCCCCAATTCATTGAGCAAAAGTTTATTTTCATCTATTTTTTCAATTCAAAGCTGTGAAATAACAAATATGCACTTCTGTTTAAATGTAACAAAAAAGAAAAAGAAAGAACTAATTGTAACTATAATCCTAATTTTTTTAAAAAAAATGCAAATGAGTTCCAAAAAAATTATTAAAATGGTAATTAGCACATAATGTCCATATATTTCACTATTATTGTGAAAAACGTTCTTATCTTTCATTTTTTTTCTTCATTAATTACACCTTTAATTATGCAAACCACAATTTCTATATCAAATTTCTCAATAAAAATATGAAATGATGAATATACCCTACTATTTAAATAAAAAATAAAGAACTAATTGCAACCATAATGTCAATTTTTTAAAAAAGTGCAAACAAATTCCAAATAATTATTTAAAAAATTAGATTTTTTTAAAAAGTACAAACAAGTCCCAAAAAAATTATAAAGAAAATTGAAAGTGCAAATAAGTTATAGATAAATTATTAATTTTTTTAAGTGTAAACATATCCTAAATAAATTATTAAAAAATTAGAATTTTTTTAAAAAGTGCAAACGAGTCCTAAATAAATTATTAATTTTTTTTAAAAGTGCAAATGAGTATCAAATAAATTATTCAAAATTAGAATTTTTTTTTTTTTTAAAGTGCAAACAAGTTCCAAATAAATTATTAAACAACTAAAAAGTATAAACGAGTTCCAAATAAGTTATTAAAAAATTAGAAATTTAAAAAATTATTTTCTTCATTTAAATATGAGAGTATATTCGTCATTTCATATTTTGTTGAGAAATTGAATTAAATAGATAGAAATTGTGATTTGTGCAATCAAATTTATAATTAAGGATGAAAATGGTAAAAAAAAAATGTAACGACATTTTTCACAATAACAGTGAAAGGTCACATTGTGTGCTAATTATCATTTTAATAATTTATTTGGAACTCGTTTGCATTTTAAAAAAAAAAAGAACTATGATTGCAATTAGTTATTTCTATTTCTTATTGTTATTATTATTATTATTATTATTATTATTATTATTATTATTAGTGCTTGTTTGGGAGGAATTTTTGGGGGAATAATTGATTTTGAATAGTGATATGATGGGAAATGTGTGGTTGAAAAAGAAGAAATAATTTTTGATGTGATGAAAAATATTATTTTATTGAAAAATGTGTGATTGAAAATGAGAATTGATTTACTGTAAAATTTTGAGAATCCCTCCCGAATATGGCCATATTATTATTATTATTATAGAATTGTATATTCGTCGTTTCACAGCTTTTAATTGAGATAATGGATGAAAATAGCCTTCTATACAACGAAATGTGAAAATAATGGTGAAAATGTCAGAAAATGAAAGGTACTAACATTTTTCACAATAATAGTGAAAATCAAAGACGTTACGTTTGGCTTTTTGATTTGATTGTTCGTTGATATCTAAGAAAATATGTTGAATAAACGATAATGAAAAATCAATAGATATTTATTGAAAAAATTAAAATAAAGATCTTAAATAGAGAACATCATTAGTGTGTATAATTTTTTACTTAAAAAATGCTTTCTATTAATATAAAATGAACTTTTAAATTCAAAGTCTCTTGAATCAAGTAACTACACGAAAATAATTGCATCATTAATTGACTCAGCACGTTGAGTGTCAAATTATTAATATAAATTAAGCCTCTGTTTGGTAAAAATTTAAAAGTTTAAATCATGTATCTATTATCTTTCTAAGCCTATGTTTGGTAAAAATTCTAGCCAATTTGTAGATTTTTTTGAATCGTTGGAACAGTACCATCTGACAAGGTCTGTGCACGTCTTCTCAATAATTTTGTTGCCATTTTCCATTCTGCCCTCATTCAATTCAAATGTGTCCCATTTTCATATAATCCAGAAGGGTAGTTTAGTAATCCAGCAGAGCAATCATTAGGCAGGGAACAAAATGCCAGCTGTGGGACCCATTTGATTTGAAGGAAAAAATGCATTATTTAGAAGAAGAATGGCTCCCAAACGGAGCCTAAAACTTTAAAATGTGATTAAGTTTTGAGTGATTTACAATAAAATCATACCCCACAAAAGAAACAAGAGTTTCAACCGACACCGTTTGCCTGCATCTCACGGAATTTATTCTCTGCATTGAGATACAAATTACAATGAGATTCAAGAAATAAATATGAAAGGTACAACATTTAAAAATGTGGATTTCGTACCTTTCAACTTTCATGGTTGTTTTATGTTAGTCATTCAAATACAATTTGATCCAATACTTATATTTTCGTTTCAATTTAATCGTTCGATCTATGAACATTATCAAAAATGATACAATCCGCGACCAAGCCAATGAGATTTGAGAAACCGTCCTTTAACCAGGTCAAATATTCTAATAGTCAGTCATGAATGTAGTTAATTTTATATCGTTTACATAGAAATCAAATTAAGCCCATGTTTGAAAACCATCAAAACAAATTTTTTTCCCCTTAAATTCATTTTCAAACATTTTCACTATAAAATATTTGCATTCAAATCCAAAATTTCTTATGCTTTTTAAAAATAATGCTATCTAACCAGTAGTGTTAGAGTATCAGTTCATGTCATGATATGTAATTTTAATATCATCTTTAATTTGAATCCGTAATTTAACATCACTAGTGATGCCACCTAAGCTGATATTTAATTTTAGTAGTGTTAGATAACATTACTTATTTTTAGGGTCTGTTTTGGTCGAATTAAAATTTAATTTTAATCCAAGTCAAAATCAGACAATCAATATTAGTCACATCTTTCATGGATCCACCACATCTTTTCAACCACACATTTCAAAAACTTCTTTCACAATCCACTAAAAATTTAATTTTAATCTTCATTTTTAATGATTGTCAAATAGGGGCTAAAATATTCAATAGATGCAATAATATATAATAAAACTACTTATCATTAGTTTTGTTCATCGACAATATGATGAATAAAATTGCATTTCGATTACATTGAACAAAATAAAAGCAATCTTATTTCTACATAGACTTGTAATGATCACCAAATATGATAAATATCATTATTCAATAATACAAGCCCTTGTTTGGGTTCCATTTTAATAAATATTTTGGAAAATATATATTTTAAAATAGTAATTTTTTAGTGAATGTATAGTTAAAGAGTAAGGAAGAATTTTAAATTTACTTATAATATTATTTTATTAAAAAATATATGATTGAAAATGAAGAAAAAGAAAAATGTATTAAATTAAAATGGAGCCAAAACATGGGCCAAGTTAAGTTATAAAATTAAAACAAGTTGAGTGATCAACATGAAACAAACATACAGACTGGGTGACCTAAATGTAAATTTTAAAGGGCATCATGTCCCAAATGTACAAGTTTATTCAGCCAATTGTAGAAACTGCAATTGCACCAGATCTCCACCATTGCGTTCCCCTGTCGCCCACGTCTTATACATATCTTCGACGCGTAGAAATGAACCGCCAGTCAGCGCTCCAGTTTTGTACAGATGGCAAAAAAAAAAAAAAAAAAAATTTCTAGATCCCCCCAAAAGTCATCATCAATCTGAATTTCTGAATAGGATTAAGAAAATCTTGAATTTTGGACGGGTCGCTCTATTCGCGGCATTACTTAACACATACGACATCGTTTTTAATCGCCGGGAAACCCAATATCATAAAAATATATAGCATATACCTACCTATACCCAGTGTACGTGTACTACTGTTCTATCTAATTAATAGATATCTATGCATGTGAACGCAATTAATGATGAGCCTGCATGCGACTTTGATGGCCTCATATCTATATACATCTTTGATTTTTCCCTTGTTTGGGTTCCATTTTAATAAATATTTTGAAAAATATATATTTTAAAATAGTAATTTTTTGGTGAATGTGTAGTTAAAGAGTAAGGAAGAATTTTAAATTTACTTATAATATTATTTTATTAAAAAATATATGATTGAAAATGAAGAAAAAGAAAAATGTATTAAATTAAAATGGAGCCAAAACATGGGCCAAGTTAAGTTATCAAATTAAAACAAGTTGAGTGATCAACATGAAATAAACATACAGACTGGGTGACCTAAATGTAAATTTTAAAGGGCATCATGTCCCAAATGTACAAGTTTATTCAGCCAATTGTAGAGACTGCAATTGCACCAGATCTCCACCATTGCGTTCCCCTGTCGCCCACGTCTTATACATGTCTTCGACGCGTAGAAATGAACCGCCAGTCAGCGCTCCAGTTTTGTACAGATGGCAAAAAAAACAAAATTTCTTGATCCCCCCAAAAGTCATCATCAATCTGAATTTCTGAATAGGATTAAGAAAATCTTGAATTTTGGACGGCGTCGCACTATTCGCGGCATTACTTAACACATACGACATCGTTTTTAATCGCCGGGAAAACCCAATATCATAAAAATATATAGCATATACCTACCTATACCCAGTGTACATGTACTACTGTTCTATCTAATTAATAGATATCTATGCATGTGAACGCAATTAATGATGAGCCTGCATGCGACTTTGATGGCCACATATCTATATACATCTTTGATTTTGTGAAGTGTTGAATAAATTTTGGAAGATGGGCAGTATATTGGAGGCAACAATAATACATCATGTGTGCATAGTGCTGGTTTTGCTATGGTTACTTAATTCATTCAAGTGCTGCCACCCAGTTGTCTACTTTCTTTCCCTAATCTATCTATATCTCGTGAGTTTCATTAATCTATTGTTGTTCTATGATATTACCATCTTAGGATAAGTAATTTAATTTTCTCGATTTTTGTAAAGATTCGGGTTTTGTTTTTGTGTTGAATTTGAAGGTCCATGAAGTGTATGTGATTAGATTGACAAGGAAACTGCAGTATGAGGAGAGAAGACAATCCAATCAAAGACGGGTAAACAATTTTTTCTACTGCTGTGTCTCAGTTTATTATTGGCTTTTTTCTTCAATTTTTTTGTAACCTCTCTCTCTCTCTCTCTCTCTCTCTCTGTTTTTTTTTTGTGGCGGTGGGGGGCCAATTCTTTAGAGAAAAAGGGGAATAAAGGAAATAAGAAAGGGTACAGAAAAAGGGTTGTGCGAGTTAAATTTTCTATGCTTTGATCTTTATGTTTGTGCATACTCTTTGTTCTTTACAATGGTGGGCATTGTTTAATAATTTTTTTTTCTCTTCTTCTTTTTTTAAATGGAATTCAACAACCATTTAGTGGATCCATGTAAATGGAAGGCTTTTGAGTCTTTGTTTTCCCTTTTTTTTGGTAGGTGCTCTCCGATTCGGAAACTGTGAGGTGGTTGAACCATGCTATTGAAAAGATATGGCTTGTCTGCGTGGAAGATATAATTTCTCAGAAAATTCTTCTCCCAATTGTTCCATGGTTCCTACAAAAATATAAACCTTGGACTGTGGTACGAGTTAAAACCAGCCTTTTATGGTGATCATTTAATTGTTTACTGAAGTCATTTCTGGAGGACTTAGATGCTGGATTATGCTACCATAGCTAATGTTGATAAATGGTTACTGGGATGGTTAATTGGTTACAACTGTGACTTGTGATTATCTGATACTGGGATCCTACTGCGGTTCTGGTTTCAATTAACGAAAATCATATTTTGCATGTACGCAGAAGGATGCTGTGGTTCAGCATTTGTACTTGGGAAGATCCCCACCTATTTTCACTGAAATGAGAGTGCTTCCAGAATCCAATGGCGATGATCACTTGGTATGTTAGGGTCACTAGTAACAGGATTCTGAGTGTAAATACAATGGCTTTTGAGCTATATATGCCTACACTCTGTGAGTCTGTGACAGCAATTTTAATATATATTCACTAACTGCAGGTGTTGGAATTGGGAATGAATTTTCGTACCGCAGATGATATGAGTGCTATAATTGCAGTGAAACTGAGGAAAAGATTGGGCTTAGGAATGCGGGCAAAGTTGCATTTGTTATGCATGCATGTTGAAGGAAAGGTAACTAAAAGGTTATATCATGTAGTAAATGATGCTTCAGTCAGTGTATCGAGCTCTATATATCGTTAGAAAAGTTTGTGTCATATGTTGCCATGAAATTTATAATAATATTACATATTAAATTGTCTAAGAAATCCATTTTACTTTGATTGCTTGTTTAGATATTGAAATGTATTATTTGCAAAAGTAGTAATCCTAGATAGTAAAAATGTTATAGAATTTGATATTTCACAACCAGTTTTGTCCAATTATAAGAAGATGGTATATTAAGACACGATTGCCAACCAGTGGCGTTGTTTACATACACGATGAAATGACACAAGTACAACTGATTTCGAAGGAAGTCTTATGCACTTTCTCTCTTGTAGGTATTGATTGGGGTAAAGTTCCTTCCCTACTGGCCTTTTCTGGGGCGTTTGCGGGTATGCTTTGCGGAGCCACCGTATTTTCAGATGACTGTGAAACCTATCTTCTCACATGGCCTTGATGTTACGGAACTTCCTGGGATTGCTGGATGGATAGTAAGTAAATGTTATTATTACCACAATAAAAATTTCTTTTCTCTCACTCTCTATTTTATCATCTGAAGTCTAATCCAAACCCTTCCCCTGAAAAAATAGTAATGATTAAAAATTTCCTTTTTTCCCTGCATCTGTTTGCCTAATAGTTGCATATTTTTGATTTCTTGATCAGGATAATCTACTGGCCCTTGCCTTTGAACAAACTCTAGTGCAGGTGAGATTACAGCTTAGTTCCTCGTAGAAACATCCAACTTATCATGTATGTTCTTTTTTTTTTTTTGGTGTAATTGTTTTTAGCATAATGTATATTTATCTTCATATTCAAATCAGATTAGGCATAAGCACCGTGTCGGTTTGAGATGCAAGAAGGGTATTATAAAATGCTTTTGTATGCTAATTCTTTTTCATTTTGCAGCCCAATATGCTGGTGGTTGATGTCGAGAAATTTGCTTCACCTAAAAAAGGTTTAACTTTTACCAAGTATTTGATTTTAAAATCTCTGTGGCAAGTTGTTGGGTTTTATTTACCATCATACTATATTCAAATCTAGTACTGATTCATATTAGTCATGCCAAGTCCCTTTCCGTGTAAAACAACTTTGCTTCACGAGATACTAATCTATTAAGGGATAATGTGATTTGTCCATAGCCAATCAGGAAGAGTGTAGACCTCTTAGATACATTATAATTGGAGAGAGTCTGCACTGAAGAAATTATTCTGAAGTGGAAAGACAATTCTCAAAAATGGAAGACGTAGCACTGAATATAAGTGAAAGTATAACATATTTTTCCGTATTTCAATAGTTTCTACCAGAGTTAAGGCTGCTTAAGGTCGAGCATAAATTTTGATCAATTTAATCACATGAAAAGTGGCAGAAGTCTAAATCGACCTTGTCTTGCCTTTTTTGCGGTCTTAAATGGACCGTGTAGTTGGGTTATGAGGTCAATGAAAAGATGGGATAAGAAGGTAATGAAAAAGAATGACTTTAACTGAAAAAGCTTAATCGATAAATTCACAATTGGTATTATTATTATTATTTTTTTTGTCGGTACATATCAAACTCAGTAGGATTAGATTTAAATCTGAGATCAAATTGAAAAATAACTTGCGCACTCAATACCACAGAGTACTATTTTTTCCTGCAAAATGTCTTTCGTTTACTATATTGATCTCTTTTATATGACAGAAAATTGGTTCTCAATTGATGCCAAGGATCCTATTGCCCATGCCATAGTGGAAGTTCTTGAAGCTGCTGACATGAAGCCATCAGACTTAAATGGTTAGTTTGAAGAACTCTTATTATTATATGTCTAATTTTTTTTGATCATAACTGGCAGTGATTCTCAGGGTTGGCTGATCCATATGTGAAGGGTCAGCTTGGCCCTTACAGATTTCGGACCAAGATTCAGAAGAAAAATTTATCTCCAAAATGGTATGAGGAATTCAAGATCCCTATCTGTACATGGGAATCACCAAATGTGCTCATCATCGAAGTTCGTGATAAGGATCGTCTATTTGACGATGAATTGGGGTGTGTTCTTGTTACTTCAATATATATATACTGAATCATGCATGACAATTTTTGGAACGTTTTGTTTCTTAATGAAGTTTGATTTTTTACTGCTATAAAGGAGCCTTTGCTTTTTATTTGCTTAAGTATCTGTCGTGTCTCGTCTCCCCTGTAAGATATTGTTACGTCTTGTTCATTTTATTTACAGGCAATTTTGCAATTAGAAAAACTACTTCAGCTTAATTCATCCCTGGAAGCCTATGCTTTTGCTTATTTGTTCCTTATCCTGGAGGATTCTGGAAAAGTTAATTGACATAATTATTCCAATGAGTTTCAATAGCATAAAACTTATTATTCTATTAGATTAAGGAAAATAGTCCTGCTTTCCAATTGGCTATCCAATCCTCTTTCAATAGTCTTGTGTTCGATTCAAGAATTGATTGCATTTTTATTTTGGTTCCTTCTGATACTATTACGGTAATTTTACATACCAAGAGAGTAATGATTCTGATAACTAAAGCTTTACTTCTATGTTTGAACTTCTCATGGAAGTTACTGTTCAGAGGTTCCAATTTATTTTTACTGTTTTTGCATCCGTTTTAAACTAATTATGCAAATGGTGCAGAGATTGTTCTGTAAACGTCAATGATCTTAAGGATGGCCAGAGGCATGACATGTGGTTGTCCCTTGAGAACATAAAAATGGGAAGATTGCATCTTGCAATAACTGTGTCCAAAGCCAATACAAAGGTACTTTTTGTGTATGGCCAATGAATGCAAAAGCAAATTCTTAGATGCCTGATACTTCGTTTGAAGTTCACTTCACATTTCTCTTGATTTTGAAACCCTAAATACTGGCAAGTGTTTGTTTATCTTAGAGCTGGAGTTGCAAGTATAATGAGATAAAATGGTTGGTATTTATTTCACATGATGTTGAATAGGTACATTTGCTGGATATTACACACATAATTAATTGGCTAACCACTTACAGTTAGTGTTAATAATGAATATAAGTTTTCAATTATTAAATACTGAAGTGTAATAACCAGAATAAATGCCATTGTTTTACTTTCAACATTTTCAAAACAATTATGGTTCTTTTTCTATTCAATTGGATTATATATAAAAGGAGAATTAAATAAAACAGAAATTGAATTTTGTTATGTACTGCCACAATGAGTTAATGATGAATATAAGTTTTCGATTATTAAATGATTTAAGTGTAATAACAAGAATAAATGCCATTGTTTTACTTTCTGCATTTTCAAACAATTCTGGTTCTTTTTCTATTTCATTGGATTAAATTTAAATGGAGAGTACTATAAAACAGCAAATGATTTTCATTATGTGCTGCCGCAGCTGTGTCTTCCCCTTTCACATGTCTATAGTATAAGTGGGTATCTGCATCTGTCTCCATGTTTGTCTGAATGCTTGTGTGTTTTCTTATATATGTATTATCCTATAATACTATTAGTGGTTGGAGAGGGGGCTGGCTTGTAGGTTTCAAAATTAGAAGTAGAAGAAAAGTCGGCTGCTGCTGTGTTGTGCTGTAAAGGGAGTAAAATAATGCAATCAAATAAAGGAGTTTATTAAATATACGAGATTGTTATTTTTCCTTTTATATCAAAATAAGCTCAAGTATTTTATTTTCATTATTTAATTAGTCCTCTGTCAAAATGGATATATATTGTAGCCCTAGGGCTAGGGGAATGATTTGGTAAAAATCAATCTTATCACTCTTAGTAGATAAAATGATTTCTTTTACTGCTTAATCCCAAACAATTCAATTAGAGTCAGTACATAAAGATTTAATATAGAGAGAATAGTATGTCACATTAATCTTCAATATGTTATTTCCTTAAAAAAGAAAAAAAATATGATTTCATGATACTTTGTTTAATTTAGAGCATGTTTGACTAAGCTTAAAATTTAATTAAAATTGAAAATATAGCCGTTATTGGGTCTGACTCGTATAATAAAAGTCAACAATAAATGCTAATTTTTCAATTTTAATTCGATTTTAATCTCTACCGAACACGCCCTTAATCATTTGACCATTATTTTTTCTTCGTAATCTGAAGACGCGTGGAAGCTTGTCAAGGAAATATGCTTGAAAGTTGAATGTTAGATTTGGCCCCTGTTTGAGCCACATTCTCATTTTTCTACTTATTTTTAACTACACATTTTTCAATAAAATAATATTTTCCATCACATCGATAATTTTTCCTTCTTTTTCAACCACATATTCACCATCACATCACAAAAAAAATCAATTTCTCCTAAAAGTTGTGCATCAAACACACTCTTGGAGATGTCATTGGACATGCATAAATTGGGAAACTGACATGCGTTGCCAACCATTGGTGCCTTAATTTCATTACCAGAATTTTGTTTCCAACTTTTATTCAATGTTAATTCATTGTTAAAACCAACAAATTATATCTATACTTCTGAAGTTATGATGGGAGCAATATTATTTTATGAGCGCTAGCTTACAACACTATTTTCAAACAGAATCTGATGGTGCCAAACTGCCAATGATGAAGACATTAGGACTTCGGATAAAAGATGAAAATTTGGGATGTAGCCCATGTATGGCTATGTTTATAAACTGATATAAACACTTAAATCCACTTTTTATCCACACATTTCGAGGGATCCGCAAGGACTGCCCACTTATTCACCACTCATTTCTATCATTTATAATCTTAAACTGTTTATATAAACACTTCCTAAACATGCTTGTAGTTAGCTTTCTGGTCATCTCTCTCTGAGATGATGCATATATTGATCTCTGAAATTAACGTGGAAGGTTAATTTTGTGATATTGTAGCATTGTGGCTCTGTACCTGATTGTTTATAGAATATACTGGATAGCCATTAGTTAGGGTATGGCAGAGGGTTTGATCTGGAATGGTACGGGCTTAAAGTGCCAGCATGTGATGCTGTTTTACATTTAAATTTACTGTCAAATGGATGATGCAATATGACTTCTAAGATGCTGAAGTCATTGATTATTTGCAGGGAGCAGAAAATACATGTGACGCAGAAGGTTTTGACAATGAGCACAGGGGAAATTCAGTCATAGATGATGCTGCTCAGAGAAGCTCCTCATTTAGATCATCTAAGATGTCCCCGAAAGTTGCAGACGAGTTTGAGCCGATTGACTTTGAAGGGCAACGAGAGACTGGGATTTGGATTCATCAGCCAGGTAGTGAGGTTGCACAAGTGTGGGAGCCACGAAAGGGGAAGAGTAGGCACCTTGAAACTCATCACCTTGATGGACAAGTTCAGGGTGAGGGTGGTGATTCAATTGGCTCCCGAGCATCGACCTCCAGTAGCACTGATGAAAGTGTAGATGCTAAGAAACCACATTCAATAAATCCAATTCGGCAGGGCTTACGAAAGCTCAGCTCGGTGTTCCACAGGAGCCCACGAACCCCGCGAACTGAGGAGAAATCCAAGTGTCTCATTGAGCCTGAGCCTGTATCATCTCCTCAAGCTAATATTAAGGCCTTAAATAACAAGGATATTGGCGTGAAATTAATAATAGATGATACCGTTGCTACTCCATATTCTGCAAAGGCTCCAAAAGAGAGAGAGAGTCGAGAGCGAAGTGTGCCAGACAGCCCACGAGAAGGGCATGCAATGGACATGGATAAAGGCATATTGAAGCATTCTGGAAAAAGCTTGAAATCCGTACTTTCACGGAAAGAATCAAGGAAGTCTAAAACTGACTCGGGATCAACACCATCAGATAATGACAATGCTTCGCATTGTGATTCTTCTGATGACTCATCTCTTTCATCATCAGCGGATGTCCCACTTGGGGTTACTGGTTTAGTTATTCCAGGTTCAGATATTTCTAGTGCAGCGTCTTGTTCTGACAATAACTCTCTCGAGACCAAGGACGGTATCAATCAGATGGAAGCCCTTTCTGGTTCGGATTCTTTCAAGTCTAAGGATGATATTGTTCAGACTCGAAATGAGCCTACAATAACTCAGTAAGTAGTATGGAACAAAAAATAAAGTCATTCCAGAAGGAAATGAACCAACCTAAATAGTGTGGAACAAAAAACCAGTCATTCCAAAAGATTATGAGACAATAAGCTCATAATCAATCTAAAACAACGAACTGGTTTAGTCGCAGATACGGAGTGGATTAAATAGTTGGAATATTTTGAAAAGGTTTGAACAGTAACATGTTTGGATTGAAATGCCTTGGATAATCGTTTTTTTTTTTTCGGGGTAACTTTTCGCTGATTGTTTATGTTGTTTGGTGTTGTTTCAGGTGTACATTGTGTTCTATATGTTTGTAAATGTTGCTTACAACTTTTTGTAAATTTGTGCACATTTGGGAAAACTTGTCCTGTATTTGTGTATCTTTCAACTTTCTATTAGACATTGCAATAAGCAAATGGGATTACCACTTTGTTATCTACCTTATCCATTTTAACTAGGACAGTATATTCCATTACTTGTTTGGAATGGTTATTTTGTTGTCACCAAACGTCAATTCTTGCTAATAGCTTTGGTCAAGTGCCATATGAATCACTTTATCATAATACAAAGATTGTTGCAAATATGAATTTTGCTTCAGCATGAATCTTTGGTGAATGGCTAATGAAAGTAGCCATAGACTTCATCAATGTCCTCGTCATTTTCCTGCTATGACAATCAACGGATGGCGTAATTTCATCATATTTTAAGCTTTTATATACAATTGCAGGGTCAATTTTGTTGCATCATGTAGAGAAGATAGAGCAAATCCTGGTTGGTTGGTTTGGAAAGTCATGGGAGAGGCAAACGAAGTCAAAACAATATATATCCAAAATATATTACTCGTTCCGTCCCATTTATATAGGTTTGTTTTGTTTTTCACACGGATTAATAAATTTTATTTAATATTATTGGAAAAGCAATTTTTTGCCTTCAATAACTAGTAATAAATTATTATTGAAAGTAGTAGTAAAGAAATAATGGTAGATTAGTAAACAAACAAAGCAAAACATTCTTAATAAAGAAATAAGATTATATAATTGGGACAAGAAAATAAGGAAAGTGAGCCTATATTAATTGTATATTAGTATACGAACAAAACAAAATATTCTTAATAAAGAAACAATACTACATAAATTGGAAAAGAAAATAAGGAAAGTGAGCCTATATAAATAGAACGGAGAGAGTGTATGTTTATCTAGTCTACTAGGCGAAAAAATTTAGCTTGCAGCCTGCAATTTGCGCCACCACATTTGTTGCCTGGTGCTTGTCCCTAAAGAATTTGCAAAATACAGAGTATATCAAACTTCATAAATGAGTCACATGGCATTACACAAGTTAATAGAGAATGCTACAAAGTAGTATAGGTTGGCCAGGACTTTCCTGTTGTTCTGTTTCCCCTCCAGAAAGGTGCACAACACTAAACTTTAGGGACTCAAAAGTCTGATTTTGAAGGATGGGGCTGCGCTTGCTTTGTATCTAAATGTTGGAGACTATTTATGTAATTTTTTGGGGAAAAAAACAGAAGAAACAAGAAAACCTCCAATCATCTTCAATCTGAATGGTAAACCGAAAAAGAAATCTCGTATTTTGGTCAGCGTCTCGCTTCCGCCAAATTGGAAATGAATGCAATTAATTAATTAATTAATGAGCCTTTTATGTGACTTTGATGGCCATTTATATATCTACGTTTGTATATTACATAGTTGATCTTGTGATGTGTTGATTTCAATTTGGAAGATGGGTAGTATATTGGAGGTGACATTAATTCATCATATATGCATAGTGCTGCTTTTGCTATGGTTACTTAATTCTTTCAACTGTTGCCACCCGGTTTCCTACATTCTTTCGCTCATCTATCTCTATCAGGTGAGTTCATTTATCTGTAGACAATAGTGGTTCTCGATCCTTATTTTTGGGAAAGTAATTTAATTTGCACAGTATTGAGTTATTTTTATATTGAATTTGAAGGTCCATGAGTTGTATGTGATGAGATTGAGAAGGAAAGTGCAGTTCGAGGACAGAAGACAATCCAAACAAAAACGGGTAAACAATGTTTACTGGGTTTTCTCAGTTCATTAATTATCTGCCATTTTATCTTAAATTTTTCTTGGTCTATTTTTGATGATCAGAAAGCCAGTGACCCCTCTTTCCTTATTTATTATTATTATTATTATTATTTTTGGAGTAGATGAAAATGTGAAATTAGGAAAAGAAGTAAAATAACCCAAAAAAGGAGTGCAAAATGGATTTTTTTTCTATTTGAGCTTTTTCTCTATGCATACTCTTTGTTGTTGGTGGGCCTTGTTGAATAATTCCATTTCTTGTTGTTTCTTCTAGGGAGTTTAAACTTTATTTTAGTAGATACATGTGAATGGGAAGCTCTTTAGTATTTGTATTTCCTACTTTCTTTGGTAGGTGCTTTCACAATTTGAAACAGTGAGGTGGTTGAACTATGCTATTGAAAAGATCTGGCTTGTCTGCGTTGAAGAGATTGTTTCTCAGAAAATTCTTCTCCCTATTGTTCCATGGTTCCTGCAAAAATATAAACCTTGGATGGTGGTACGAGATATTTTGGCATCATTTAATTTCTTACTGAATTCAATTCTGGATTACACTTACATTTTCTGTTTTATGTTGTGTTGAGTGGAAATTAAGTTAGTTTTTTGAGTGTGAGAATTATCACTGGATGGTAATGGATTGCAACTATGGCTGCTGTGATAATCTGACACTAAGGGTCTCGGACCCTACTTTGGTTCCTTTTTTAATTAATGAGAATAATATTTTGCATGTATCCAGAATGATGCTGTGGTTCAGCATTTGTACTTGGGAAGATCCCCACCTATATTCACAGATATGAGAGTGCTTCGAGAATCCGATGGTGACGATCACTTGGTATGCCAGGATCACTAGAAAACAGCTATAAGTCCTCATACAGTGCCTTTTGAGCTTTTTTAGCATACGTACCCTGGTACAGCAACATTAATGTATATCCACTAACCGCAGGTGTTGGAATTGGGAATGAATTTTCTTACTGCAGATGATATGAGAGCGAAACTTGCCCTGAAAGTGAAGCAAAGATTGGGTTTAGGGATGCGTGCAGCATTGCATTTGATAGGCATGCATGTCGAAGGAAAGGTTAGTGGAAGTAACACCACTTAGTAAGCAATGCTTCAGTCAGTACATGAGGCTCTATATAAAGTTTGAAAAGTTTATGGGTCTTATGTTGATTCTCAAGAAATTTAGAATTAATATCACATAATAACTGTCAAAAATATATCTTTTAAGATAAGTTTAATTTTTATTGCTTGTTTGGATTTTGAAATATATTGTTTGCAAAAATAGTCATCCTAGATTATACAAATCTTATTAGTATTTGACATTTTGTAACCATCTTTGCCCAAATCTCAGAAGATTGCAATTTTAGCTTCAGTGAGATAACGAATATCGGCTTTGTTTAAAATCAAGGCCATTGATCATAACCAGTGGAGAATGTTTTACCTACCCCGACGAATTGACACATTCGGAGGAAGATTTATGCACTTTCTATCTTGTAGGTATTGATTGGGGTGAAGTTCATTAGCAAGTGGCCCTTTCTTGGGCGTTTGCGTGTATGCTTTGCTGAGCCACCATATTTTCAGATGACCGTGAAGCCTATATTCTCTCATGGGCTTGATGTTACAGAACTTCCAGGGATAGCTGGATGGCTAGTAAGTACATTTTATTACCACAGCAATAAATTTCTTTTCTCTATTTATCCATAGCGTAACCCTGAACCTATTCCCATAAGAAACAATAATTCCTTCTTTCTCTATGCATCTGTCTGCCTAATTATATGCGTATATTTTTTTTTCTCGATTAGGATAATCTTCTGGCCCTTGCCTTCGAGCAAACTCTAGTGCAGGTCAGATTATTAGCTTAGTTCCTAGTATAAACAACTAGCTTATCATGTGTGTTCATTTTCGACTTTTAGTCGTTTTTAGATTAAGTTGTATCTAGATTCCTTTTCAAATCAGATTGCGACCACTGTGTAGGTTTGAGATGCTAGAAGCATTCCATAATGTCTTTGTAGTCTAATTCTTTGTAATTTTGCAGCCCAATATGCTGGTGGTTGATGTTGAGAAATTCGCTTCACCTCAGCAAGGTTTTAACTATGACTTGGTATTTGATTTTCAAGTGTTTGTTGCAAGGAGTTGGTTTTTATTTGTCATGATATTGTTTTCAAATCTAATGCAAGTTCTTATGAATCAGGTAAGTTCTGTTTTAGATAAAAACAACTTTGGTTTACAAGATACTAACCAATTAATTGATAATATGATCTGTCAATAGCCAACCAGGAAGAGTGTAGGCTTCTCAATGGAAACTTTACAATTTTCCTTGGGAGAGAGAATCTATATGGATCCCAGATGTATGACTGCACCCATAAGATGTTTGAAAGCCAGGAGAAAAAACATTTTGAATTCCAGATTTTTTATTTGGGGGTTCTTAATATCGTTCTGTTTGGTTCAATTATTATACAACAAAATGTTATCAATAAATGCACAATTGGTGCATATGTTAGCTTCTTATTATTATATATTTTTTTCTAAATTTATTTACTTTCCTTCAATTTATTGATTTGTCTTTTATATATATTAGAAAACTTGTTCTCGTTTAATGCCGAGGAGCCTGTTGCTTATGCTATAGTGGAAGTTCTTGAAGCAGCTGACATGAAGCCATCAGAGTTAAATGGTTAGTTTGAAGTACTCTGATAGTTATAATATATGCCGGGAATTTTGTGATTGTAACTGGCGGTGATTCTCAGGGTTGGCTGATCCATATGTGAAGGGACAGCTAGGCTCTTATAGATTTTGTACTAAGACTCAGAAGAAAACTTTGGCTCCGAAATGGCACGAGGAATTCGAGATCCCTATTAATACATGGGAATCACCACATGTGCTCAACATCGAAGTTCGTGACGAGGACCATTTTGTTGATGACATATTAGGGTGTGTTCTTGCTACTTCGAAAATGTACATTGTACTGAATCATGCATGATATTTTCTGGAAGTTATGTTTCTAAATGAAGATATGATTTTTTTCTGCTAAAAAGTGGGATTATGCTTTTTATTCCCTGAGTACCTGTAGAGTCTCCCCTGTAAGATACTTTTCTGTCTTGGATCCTTTCTTTTCATTCTACTCAAAAGACTTTCGTTCTCCACTTAGAAAAGCTACTCACGACTTTAGTTTTCCTCTGGAAGCTTATGTTTCGCTTATTTTTCCCTTATCTCAAAGGTGTTTGATTGTGCCTAAAAGCAGCTTTTTTAGCTGCTTTTGCTGGCAGCATGTAGAGTGCTTAAAAGGTATTGAAAAGTGGCTAAAAAAGCTGCTTTTTAAGTACAGACAAACATCCTCATAGTTATTCCAAAGACTTTTTCTAAAATATTTAATTTTGTTACTCTATTAGATGAAGGAAAATTGTCCTGCTTTCCTAATTGGTGAGTCCAAGCCTCTTTCAACTGTTTTTTTTGCAATTTCTAACATCCCGTGTGTTGAGTAACACGTTGCTGTGTTTGGTACAAGAATTGATTGTGATTTTATTTTGGCTTATTATTATCTTATTCTGTCATTTTACATGCCTAGAGAGTAGAGATTCTGATAACAACAAAAGCTTCACTGCTTTCTTTCAACTTCTCACGGAAGCTACTGTTCCGAGTTTCCATTTTCTTTGTACCTTTTGCATTTACTTTAAACTAATTGTGCAAAATGGTGCAGAGATTGTTCAGTAACAATCAATGATCTTAGGGATGGCAAGAGGCATGACATGTGGCTATTCCTTGAGAACGTAAAAAACGGAAGATTGCATCTTGCAGTAACTGTATCTGCGCGCACTGCAAAGGTATCTGTTGTTTATATACGTGTATGGGAGATAAATGCACTGAAATTGCTTAGATGCCTGGTACTTCCTTTGAAGGTCACACTTTATTTTCTTGTGACTCTGAAAGCATAGATAGAGGAAAGTGTATGAAAACTCGAGTTGCGAAAATATTGAGAGGGAATTGTTGATATTCATTTCACATGATGTTGGGTAGTTACATTTTTTGGATAAATTATCTCTTTTCCTGGATACATCTTAAATTTGTTTAGACTTCTATTGTTCTCAATCTGATCTTCATAATTGTGTTTATTATATTCCCACATTTTTATACGGTTAGACAAATTGTCAACTAAGTCCTTTTTGTTTTTCTATTTAGAGAACAGTTACGGATGAGTTTGAGCCAATTGACATCGAAGGGCGACAGGATACTGGGATTTGGATTCATCATCCGCGTAGAGAGGTTTTACCAGTGTGGGAGCCACGGAAGGGTAAGAGTCGGCACCTTCAAATTCATCACCTTGATAGTCGTCAACTTCAGAGTGCGGGTGGTGATCCAATTGGCTCTCCACCATTGACCTTCGGTCAAAATGGCAGCAGTAGCGCTGATGAAAGTGTGGATGCTAATAAACCTCAGTCAAAGAATCCAATTCGAAAGGGTTTACGAAAGGTCAGGTTGGTGTTTCACAGGGGTACAAGAACCAAGGACAAATCCAATTGTCCTGCTGAGCCCGAACTGTCTCCACCTGTTAATTTTAGTGCGTTGAATAACGAGGATATTGACGCGAAATTTATACTAGAGGATACCATTGCTGCTCCATATTCTGCAAAGAGACCAAAAGATGATGAGAAAGAAAATGGAAAAAGCTTAATGTATGACCTTCCGCAGAAAGAATCTGGGCAGTCTAAAGCTGAATGCAGACCGACTCCATCAGATAATGACGCTGCTTTGCTGTATGACTCTTCCAATGACTCATTTCCTCCATCAGCAACAGATGTCCCACTTGAGGTTACTGAATTCATTGTTCCAGGATCAGTTATTTCTAAGGACGATATCAATCAGACAGAGGAAGCCTTCTCTGGTACTAGTTCTTTCAAGTTTAAAGAGGATATCTTTCGGATTCAAAATGAGCTGCAGTAAATAATACGCAACAGGTAACAAAAACAAAGTCATTCCAGAATATTCTGAGACGATTAACTGATAACTAATCTGAAATAGTCACAGCTTTGTTGTGCACTTTTTAGCAGATTGTAAATGTGTTTGGATGTAGTGTGTACATGGTGTTGTACACAATTTAAAGCAGAAGCTTTTACTTTGGAGAAGCATGTGCAGTATTTGTACATTTTCCTACAAGTTTGTTAATTATAGAGTTTTAGGAATCTTTATTTCTCAAGAACTATCTAATTGCCTTTCTTCGGGACGAAGTGAAATTAGTGTGCTCCCTCGACAAGAGTTCACTTTTGTGCTTCACATGTTATACACGACAATCTAATCGCGATTTCATGACCGAGAAACTCAAGTGTCTAAATGATATTAACTAGTTATGCCTTTCTTCTTACAATAATGCTACACGTACAGAAATTTTATCACATAAGTCTTATATAATTTCAAAAATTCTGATGTGGTACTGCAAGATTCATTATTTCCTAACAGCCACCAACAGCCCCTTTTTACCCACCCACCCAAACACAATCCAACACAGTCACCCCTTCCCTTTTTTCCTTATTTATTGTCTCAAATTTAGAAATTATTACGTGAATGTTAAACAAAGTCGAAATATTGCATCCTTAACACCATTTCGAAGTACTCACGATCTAGTTTATCGCATTCTTAACCGCGTGCGAAATGATCAATTGTAGCAAAAGTTACCACTCGTCGAAATAGACCGTTCCAAAATATATAATGTTTTTTTCTTATTTTTATCTCAATATTTGGGATTATTACGAGATGTCAAACGAAATCTAAATCTAGTATTGTTTTTTTCTTATCTTTATCTCAATTTTCGTGATTATCACGTAATATCAAACGAATTCGAAGTCTCTTTTTCTTGACACTTTCATAATACACGAGCCAGTTTATTGCAACACTAACCGCGTGCGAAACGGCCAATCGTAACAAAAGTTACCACAATACAAATCTTTATTTTGGGGCTGAGGAAACGAGGGAGAGTTGAAGAGGGGATTAAACTTTTCGACAGTGTGATGCTTAAAGGGTATGATCCCATTAACACTATTGTATCTAGCTCCACACCCTCCGTTTCCATCCTTTCCAACAAATTGAAGGCTTTATCAATGCCTCACAAAGCCCATGCATCATAGTTGAAAAGGTACGCACATTAGGCCTGCATTTTTGCTTAGAAAATTCATCAAGCACAGTAAAAGCAGTTTCCGTCTACCCACACCTACACTACCCTTCAATGATGATATTCAAACAAGAAGCATCAATCTCCACGCCCAACTTTAAAGCTCCCATGTAAACCTCATGCACAACATCAAATTGCTTCTGTAATTAGGCATTCGAAAAGGGTCTCAATGGCACTGTTTATTCTCCCAGCCGAGTGCCCATAAATCTTGATCACATTGCGGAAAAACTCATTCGAAAGCCTGCATTTCTTCTCAAGCTTGGTTCTTTGCGTGAGGGTTTCAATCCCTTCAAAGTTATTGGCAAGTGCCAGCTTGTTGATGACAGTTGTATAAAGCGCTTCATTTGGTTTGTAGTCTTTGCAGTCTGAAATTTGAGTAAAGAGAGGGAGTGTTAAATTTGGGTCTTTGAGGTTTCCGAAAATCTTGATGACTTCAGATGGGCTTAACCCGTCTTTGTGGCTGAAAATATTGGATTCTTATCAAGATTATCAGGGTTTTGGAGTGATCTGGATGAAGAAATTGATGGAAAGGTGATGAAAATTTTAGTCTTTGGTGGCTAGTTGAGGAAAAGAGTGAAATTTGGAAGATTGGTTGGTGGATTTTTGGGTATATGAACAAGAAAGGGATACCAAAACATTGTTTTTCTGACGAAAGGGCAATAAAATACTTATTATTTGCATCCACACTTCCCGTCTAAACTTTCACCGTCCATAATACTTATCCCCTTTCAATGATTCTCAGCCATCAAATTTTACAGTCCCGGCTGCAGTGAACATTAGAAAATAAGACAAATTTTATTTCTCAAAGAGGTACACTAGGAGAAGAGAAAGCCTGCTGCTATGAACTAAGTTAGACAATGTCTCAAAGTAAGAATTCCCATACACTTATCTGTCACAGAAGCAGCACAACTTAGCTGTCCATTTTCAAATCATATATATACACACACAAAGAGAAAAGATCCTCCCATGCAATTTAGAGTATAACCACCCACTCTACTGGAGCTTAACTGAAGATTGTGCCATATGGAAATGGTGGTTGTTAGTGAGGTGTGATGAGAGTTAAAACACAAAAATTAACATTCCAAGCAACACTTGTATGTTAGACCAAGTATTTCTTGTTGGAATATAAATCCTCCAAGAAGAATAGAAAAGAGAGTCTATAGAAATAGCAAACACCGAAAAATGGCTTGAACGGTTAATTGCTATCCTCAAACTAAATATGCTCCTCTAGGATTGATTTTGATATTTAAAAGGATTCGAGGCAAATGGTTTGTAGGATTAAACAAGCCTAGAAGAAGAATAAACACTTAAGCACTTGTGTTTTCCTCTCAGAACTTGAAGAACGCTTGAAGATTGAATATGTATAGAAACTTTGATAAAAATTATTTCTATGTGGAATGATCTCTTGAATTGATGAATTGATTGTGTTTAAGAATGAAATATATACCACTAAAAGGTCTCAATAGATCATGAAAAGATGGATTTGTTCATGAAAAGGCACCAAAAAAGGACCAGAAATTTAAATCCCAACGGTCAAAAAATTGGCTTGGGCAATTGCCTAGTACAAAACCAGGCAATTGCCTGGCCAAGTTTTTGGCCACTGGTGATCAATAACAAGGTGGCAATTCCCGAACCTTAAGCCTAGGCGATTGCCCATACCAAAATTTTGACTCCTCCGTTTTTCCTTCTCGTTTTGCTTCCGGTGTTTTCGTACAAGCAGCAGATCATACCTAGACTCATCACGTGCTTTATAAGACTTAAAATGTAATTTTAATTCGTAAACAACCAATTTGATCTACATGACTTTTAGATAAATAGCGAGTAATCTAATAATGGATAGAGATGGGAATCAGAAAAAAAGAGCAAAATCAATGATTTCACATATCTCAGACGCTCGGCACAGGCACGTTGGCCGCACCAGGAGATACATCTGGATACTGAAAAATCCCATCATCAGTACCTGTTATAATTCTTCATCTTCCTCTCTCTATATCCACTTAGTCCCTTTGAAATTTCTCCTAGAAGTTTAATTGAAATAAATTAAACCCATTGTTCTTTTCTTTTCTTCTAATTTCCAAGATAAAGTAAATGGAACCTTCTTAGCCAAAAATATACAAAATGGTGCACCAATACAGAAAAATATATTTTCAAAATAAATATACTACGAACATACATGACTCAGATGAGTAAGGCAACCAAAGCATCATATCCACGCCACTGATTTAGACCGCCTGCAGAAATAAATCTGGGCAATCAATTGGCACAGAATCTGATAGCCGTACTTTTTCCTCATGGTCATGAAATTCTAAATAATAAGAATAAAATGGAAAGAAGTGCACAACATAGAAAGCAAGGTGTTAAAAATTCAGCAGATTATTTAAGAGAATTACGAATTGGCTTCGATTAGGGCTTTAAAATCGACCAAGATGAAAAGCCTACTCGCCGGTATGTGGAGAGCATTATTTGGGGGTTTCTGATATGCGCCGCCATGCCCTTTTGTGTTCAATTTCCACGATCCTCTATTGCATTTGATATTATAAGCGGGAAAACCTCGGGTGGGGGAGAATTGTTCAACCCTTCGTTTAGTCCGATCCAGATTTTAGTGCAAGTCCAATTTAACAAAGTCCGGGTGTGAATTAAAATTAAAAAAAAATTCGGTAGATTTTAATAAAAGTTAATAACATACGTAGTGAAAAAGTTGTGCTCATAAAATTTGTTGAATTTGATTTAGATTGAAATTTAGATTTTAATTTCTACCAAACATGGGCTTAATTTTAACGAAAATTAGATCTACAACTTTTCAACAACACATTTCATCAAAATTTATTAAAATTTTGATTTTAATCACCATCAAACAGGAGCTGATTATGTGACAAAAGGGTCGAGTTGTTTATAGGCTCGGTCTAAAGGTGTTTTGGGCTCATTTTGAGATGAATCGTGGATCAAATCGAGCTCATATTTTTTTCGTGAGCTGAGCAGGTTCGACTCATGAACCGACTTGTTTGAGCTTGTGAGCTTAGGCTTATTTTGGTAATTATTTAAAATATACAATCGACTCTTGTACGACTCGTCTCATAAGGTCCACGAGCCTATGGACCGAATCTAATACATGTTTTGGATATGAGCCGAGCACGACTCATCCCTAAGGCCAAGTCAAGCTCAAGCATTTAAAGGTCGAGTCGGCTCCGCTCAATCCATTGACATCCCTAATTAGGACAAACTATGTTTTTAATCTCTCGTTTGAAGAAGTAATTCGTGTTATGTTAGATTCTTTATTGTACGAGGCTCGAACAACTACTTATACCATGTGAGTCAAAACTAATGGAATGATCCACCTGATAAATGAAGCAGCTACGAGCAACGACACGCACTTAGTAAGTTAATTACGAAATAATACATGAACTTTACCCCTATATAAAAACATGCACGAACTTGTATCAGAATCACATAAAATAAACATTTGTATCATATTTATTCATGAATTAATTTCCACTATCAAAAATAATTGAACAATTTACATGGCATACATAAATTAAGTTTTGTTTTTCGTGATCGGAGAAAAAAATTGTTAGATTCAGGCTCATGAACGTGGGTAAGGACCATGAGCCGCCTTTGTTTCAATGGATTTTGCTACTTGTACATAAAAATGTAAATAATGAATTATATGATATAATGTTGATGGAAAAAAATTGAATGAAAAAATTGATCATGTATTAAACTAACAAATGGTAAAGTGTGGTGTGACATTATATAAATCTTGATTTATATACAGCAAGATCCTTGTTTCAACACTAGGAAGCTGTTTGGTGAGAATTAAAATCAAATTTTGTTTCCATTCCTCCGATTACGTCCAGTATCCCATTTTCCTTGCGTAATTCGCACTCATATCGTTCTTGGAGGGCAAGCAATCACACAATAAAATTACGCTTTTTACTTCAGTTGGATAGACAGCCAAAGGTACGGTACCTCGAGGCAATCCCTCATTTCCCTAAAAATTACATCTTTTTTGTCCTAAACCCTAATAAACCATTTTCATTTACTGCACAAAATTCAGTCAGATTCTGAGGAATGGAAAACAGCAGCAGCGAAACCCCTCCATCCGAGCCCATGCAATCCCTCTCCATTTCCCCTGAAACCTCCTCACAGTAATTCCCATCTCTCTCTCTCTCTCTCTCTCTATGTATGGTTTTTGTTGAATTTTATTTTGAACTGTTGAAAACGATGAAATGTTGTATCTTTTTGCTGTATTTTTTTTAAAAAAAATTAGGAATGAAGTTCATAATAGATATTGAATTGTTGAATGGCATATAGGATGAGCTTGGACGAAAGGTTTGAGATAATAAGGAGCATTGGCGAAGAATGTATACAAGAGGATGAGTTAAAGAGACTCTTGGCTAACAAGCCACAGCCCATTTGCTATGATGGATTCGAACCGTCTGGCCGGATGCACATTGCGCAGGTTTCTTGACTCTCTCTTCTAATTTTGGCTGAAAATTTCATAATTCTTTGTCATTGGTTAATTCAATTAGTTTTCCCAATATGCTGGTTTTTTTTCTAGAATCGGGGACAGTGGTGAATTCTGTTAGTAGGCTGCATCAAACTAAAATTAAGTTTTGTGAAATTAGACGCGCTGTCATGTTTTTGTGAACTGCTTTGCTTTTTTGTTTTGATAAAGTTGTTTGATTTTATTTATTATTTTATGGTGTGGGAGAGCCCGAAAATGTGATGATTATGATTACTCAATCTTGTCAATTTGTCTTAGTTTGACCTTAGGTGATATTCTATTTTGATTTTAAATTAAAATATAATCTTTTTTTACATATAAATTAATAAATAGAAATTTACTTCTGTGTTTAATTGTTATGGTAAGAGTCTTATTATTTTCATGTACATTTTTAAAAATCCTGTAACTTCGAGTAATATATTATGGCATGATGTGATTCGATGAAATCATATGATAAGTAAGCTGTTATTGCAATTTAATAGGAGAGATGAATATATTGTGTTTAATATTTGTATTCCATATTTCAAATGATGATTTGTTTTTTTTTCAAATAACTATGGGAAGGCGTTATGTAGTTCCAGAGGAAAGGTCTATGTATACACTCTTTTGAATGAACTCTTATTGGGCCAGTTATGATTGCTGAGCAGGGAGTTATGAAAGCAATTAATGTCAACAAACTGACTTCTGCTGGCTGCAAAGTTAAAATTTGGATCGCAGATTGGTTTGCTCAGCTAAATAACAAAATGGGGGGTGACTTGAAGAAAATCCAAGTTATAGGACAGTATCTGATTGAGATATGGAAAGCTGTAGGGATGAATCTAGAAGGAGGTCAGGTAGAATTTCTTTGGTCTTCTGAAGAGATCAACACCAGGGCTCATGAGTACTGGCCTCTTGTAATGGACATTGCTAGGAGGAACAAACTTCCTAGGATATTGAGGTAATACATTTATTAACAGTTTTTCCTTATTGAATCTGCAATCTTTGAGAATATAAGGCATCACAGTTTTTTTCTCTTTCTTTTGTGGTCTAATTAGGTGTTGTCAAATTATGGGTCGCTCTGAGCAAGATGAATTATCAGCAGCCCAGATTTTCTACCCGTGCATGCAGTGTGCTGATGTATTTTTTCTTAAGGTGACTTTTGGTTTAAGCGATGAACATTGTTGAAATACTTTTGCTATGGTTCAATTCGTGGGCATTCAGTTTTCAAACGAACGCTTCGTGAGAAGTGCATCTTATGTGGTTTAGCAATTATGAGTTGTTTCCTTCTAAGAGCTTCATTGAGTAGTTGTAGAGTCTATTGAATTCTATGTCTTCTTGGTAGCATGTTGTGTGTCTTTCTCAAGTGCACTTTGAATTTCTTGGTTGGTTTGACCATGTGATAGCATTATCTTTCAGTATTATTGATATCTAATGAATATGATGTGTGGTATTATATCAGTATGTATCATGTATGCAGTCTGTACCACTCTCGGTAAGATTGCTCACTTTATTTATTTTTTTGATAGGTAAGACTGCTCACTTTATGTAGGGTTTCTTCCCTTTAATTCATGCACTTTGGACAATAAATATTACTGAGTTATGAATTTTTACTGAAATGGGCCATCAGAACAGTATCTTATTTGGTCCTTATGAGATTGTGTTGTCTTTATATGCATTATGGTGTGATTGTCCTCTTAACCTTCTTCATAAAGAGAAATATTTTGGCTGAATACAATTGTCTTGATTAAATGTGAATTGAACTTCACAAATATGATTTGCCAAACAGGCCGACATCTGTCAGTTGGGCACGGACCAGCGCAAAGTGAATGTACTTGCAAGAGAGTACTGTGATGACATAAAAAGAAAAAACAAGCCCATAATATTGTCCCACCGTAAGCATCCTCTAGACTTCAAACTGCATGTACCAGTTGAAATTTTTACGCATTTAATATTCACTGTTATTTTGCATACAGATATGCTCCCTGGTTTGCAGGAAGGTCAAGAAAAGATGTCAAAGAGTGATCCGTCATCTTCCATATACATGGAGGATGAAGAGGTATTACCTCATCCGGGAAAGGGAATGATCAATAAATCGTAAAATTTGTTCATTTGAGTGCTGATTATCTGAGCTTATTCTTTGTTTTTTAGCTATGTTCATCTGGATTTGTAGTTTTATTGCTTTCGTCAATGATAATTGCATGTCCACAGGCTGAAGTGAACGTGAAGATAAAGAAAGCATTCTGCCCTCCAAACGTGGTAGAAAAGAATCCATGCCTTGAGTACGTCAAGTATATTATTTTCCCATGGTTTAATGAGTTCAAAGTTGAACGAAATTCAGATAATGGAGGTGACAAGTGAGTTACTCTTATTTCTACTGATCTTGTAAAATACCGTCTATTTCCTCTGTTTAATTTATGTAGTTGTGTTTGACCTGTAAAAATCTGGTTGTTTAAGATACTTCTCATTTTTATTCACAATCAAGATGGTCTCAATGAATAATTTGCTCCATTATCATTTTTAATGTTTCTCTGCCATGATATGCTACTCTTTGTTGTGTTGGTCATACTACTTTCTTAATGGCACTCTTTTTAGGCTGTGTTTTTAATATATTTGCTATTTATTATCTCAGGACCTTCAAGAGTTTTGAGGAACTAGCATCTGATTATGTAAGTGGGGAATTGCATCCTGGGGACCTCAAACCCGCTCTAGCTAAGGCACTTAACCAGATACTACAGGTATTTGATATAATCATGTCTGAATTCTAGTCATGTTTAAGTTTTGTTTTCCATGATTGAAATTTTTTATTCCAATATCAAGAATGAGGGGGTTATATTCATCGACATACTAATATAGGATTACAATATGCATTTCTAATGTACACTCGTATTGTGATGGAATTTCTTGATCACCATATATACCATGTTATAGAATATATATTTGGCGAAGACTTTGTCTTGGTATAAAATTGCTATATTTGATATCAAAAGTTCTATTCTTTTGTGCAATCACTTGTGTCATTTGTTTCTTTTAAAGATACACATGCGTTGTTTGCTATGTCATGATACTGAAGCAAGCATTCGCAATTGGTAATTTGTTGCCAAAACAAAAGGAAAATAGTTGGATGATTTTTTCTTTACCATGGAAACCAACAGTTACAAGAAAAAAAATAATGAACAAAATAATAATGTTGGTAAATTACTTGATATCGCTTATCAGTAAGCATAAAAAAGTAAGAACTTCAGGTCCTCTGTCCTATTTTTAACTGACTGTTTGAGGAATGAATAGTTTCCTCCTAGTGTATTGAAATGATTCATTAAATTTGTACGACTCTGTCTCCATTTTCTCCTTTAAAAAAAAAAAAAATTTCTTCCTATATCTAGTTCTTTCAGAAGACTCGTAATAAATAAGTCTATAATTTTCAAGAAGTGCGGCCATGTTGGCCTGCCAAGTATTATGTGACCTTATCTATGTTAGAAGAGACTTTACTCATATTTTGTCGTCGTAATTTGATTCACACACAGCAAACACCCGCTTGAGCATGTTCTACTCACTTGAATCCTGCAGTTATATAAATTTTAGTTGTTTACAAGTGTCGAGTAGTTTCATATCACATATGTCCCCTTTTTGCACCTACCTCAACCCCAAGCGCACTCTAGATTTTGGTGCAAATATCATGATCTGCATCGTATATGTGTATGTGTTGCAATGATTATATCATAACGTGATGGTGATATGTTTTACCTCATGTACTTGTGTCTTTTTTCATGGCTTGAAGTCTAAGCACCCGTTTGGCCCCCATTATTTGATGTTATAATTTTTGAAATAGTATTTTTTTGGAGAATATGTGATTGAAAAAGAAGGAAAAGTTTTTGGTTTATGTGTAATATTATTTTATTGGAGAATGTATAGTTAAAAAGAAGACAGAAAATGTATTATAAATTTAACGGGGGCCAAACGGACCTAAAAATTGTAATTGTACTTATTTATTTATATTTTGTGAATATGTGGCAGTTTGCATTGCATGCGACGTCACATATCCATTTTCTTTCTTTTGTCTTGTTTTCGTGTTTTGTGAGAGGAATAGACCAACTAGTTGAAAACTTCAAAAACTGTGATAGGTTCTTGAAGCCTTGATTCACTTCACTGTCGAGTGTCGTCCAACTTTGATATGATGCTGCATCTACCATTTGATCGCAAGCTTCATTTGATTGAAATAATTCAAGTTGGGATTCGATTGTAAACTCTTAATCTTCAGATTTTTAGAAGTTGAATATGTAGTACTTTTGCTGACTGACGTCTATCCATTCGATACACTAAGCTAGGATTTCTTGGACCCCTTCTATGTATGCAGAGGAATGTTTCTTCTCTATCAATTGCCTCTGATTAATTCATCGTGTCTTCCCTGTGCAGCCCGTAAGAGATCATTTCAAGAATGACCCAAAGGCTAAAGAGTTAGTGAAACGGGTGAAGGTATGTATTTTTCAAGAATTGACAGAAAATGGACTGGACGCACACAACCTTGAAGGATTAGCCGAAACTATTATTTTGTTAAAAGCTTGCACTTGCTTAGGCTTATAGGCAATTTAGCCCTGATACCTGTGCATATATTTTCATGTCTCTATCATTGATGCCCTCGATGGTTTTGTATCATCCAGAGCTACAAGGTAACCAGATGATATGGTGTGGAATCAAACAAGATGATATATGACGAGCGCACTTTCGAAGATGCTATTGCATCGCATCCTTCTATTGAAGTTCAAAAGATTATGAAAAACGTTTTATACCCTTTGATATTCTTCATGTTATTTCCAGCTATTTTATTTCTTGGATTCTGTTAGTTGAAAACAGAATATTTTCTGTATTATGAATTTAAATCTTATATCAGAATAAAATGCTATTTTTCTTACCATCCAATTCTTCACATCAGTTGAGTTCTCTTGAGCACTATTTTCCTTGCACTATATGCACACTTGGATCAGTCGCGTCCGTTGCTAAGAGTCCTAAGACGGTTAGGAGCATGAATGGCAGTAAGACATTAAATTCAAAATGCATATTTGACATTTTATGTGTGTTGAATGAATACTCTGGACATGAAAAGTAAACGTTTAAATAAAATTTTGAAAAAATGAATTGTAAATGTGAAGAGTTTAACCATAAATAATCTCTTAGCCAACCGATCAAGTAAGTGAAAGATTCATTAAACTATGAAACGTTATCCTGCCATAATGTGACGTGCTTACAATGCTAATAAAAAGTAACACATTCAATAGTATTTAACATCCAAAAAATTGTCAAACAAAATGCATCACATGTCAAAATATCACAAGTACCCCCTCGTCCTGGGCCATCGCACGGAAAACAATAATTGAATAAGTGATTATCTATAAAAATTGTAAGTAAAAAATAAAAATAGTTTTAAGCTCTTAGAGAACCATCTACGTAATTTTAAAAAAAATTCTAGAAAAATAAAAATAATTCAAGCACTTAATAATTATTTACATAAAAATTATAAAAAAAATTATTTAAATTAACACAAGAAAATTCTCAAACAACGTCATTAATTAATTTATTTATTATAGTTTGCTAACTTAATTTTTTATTTTTTTTTATTTTTCTTTTGTAACAAAAAAAAAAAAAATTGTAAGATTCGTATGCCTTAAAAATGTACATATTATTTGATAATATATAGATATAATTTTTTTTTCGATTTTACTGAATAATCAAATTTCATGAAATAAAATGTCATCAAATAATTTCTCAAATTTTCAAGCCAAACTTTTTTTTTCTATTTTTCTATTTTGGGAAACAATTTTTCAGAATGATAAATCAAATGCATTTTTAACAATTTTAAAATAGATCATTAAAACAAAAAATTGAAAATGAACTTGAAACTAAAAATTGAAATACAAATCAAACGAGCCCTTATATATATCTTTCTATATATAAAAAGTGCCTATTTAACGGCATTTGTTGGTTTAACGGAAAAACTAACGGAATTTGTTGTTTTAACGGATTATGTAACGGAATTTCTTGTTTTAAATAGACAACTGTACCTTCTTTCAGTGTTTTTATCATAACTTTCTATTCCGATGTTCGATTGAGACGATTCAAAATGCGTTGAAAAGCTAACCCATCTGGCTACAACTTTGATTCAAACATCATTCTCCAATTCAATCACTTTCTATGCCAAAAATATGTCTTAATATAACGGACTATGTAACGGAATTTTTTGTCTTAAACAGGCAGCTGCACCTTCTTTCAGTGTTTTTATCATAACTTTGTATTTAGATGTCCGATTGAGGCGATTCAAAATGCGTTGGAAAGCTAACTCATCTGAATACAACTTTGATTCGGACATCATTCTCCAATTCGATCACTTTCTATGCCAAAAATAGGTCTCAATATGAGACTAAAACATCGGAGCATAACTTTTCGGTTGGAAATTGATTTGTGATCATCTTTTGACTAAATTTGATTCCACT